TTTTAAAAACAATCTCAGCCCCTGGCCATTTTGGTGGCCTCACCTTTACTTTGGCAAAGAATCTAGGATTACCCTGTTGCAGAGAGGCAATTTTATTAAAAATTGCCATCAGAGACCCACACTCTATGTGACTTCCAAGTTTATTGCGAAGTAGCCGTTTAAAAGTATTTGCTACTGGAGTATGTTGTTGTGTTCCATCAAGTCGGAACCAACCCATAGCTGACCCTCCAGTGGGTTTTCAGAGGCAGTTAATGGCTCTGGAGGAAACTGCTCGTTCTCCTGTGGAGCAGCTGGTGGCTTCGAACCACGTTCCTTTGGGATTGCAGCGCAGCTTCTTGCCAGTAGGCAAAGATAATAATTTATCTAACCAAGCTGTATACCAGAGTGCATAATTGCTAGAGAATGCTACATAGTGTTCAGAGAGATTATTTAAATGGAATGACTTGTTGAGCTCCTAATTATATGATCCATGAGGCAGGGTGGTTGTTGTTTTTTTAAAACAGTGTCTTTTAAAATCAGAATGTTTTCAGCTACCGACAACCTGCAGATGTGAGGTTTCCTCTACTTTTTTTTGTTTGTTTGTTTGGTTTCCCTCTTCCTTTTTTGTGATGTAGTTAAGCCCAGTGGGGATTTTCTTGACACTGCTAATACTCATGTTGGTGTCTTTAATTACCATGACTGCGGTGGGAGCTCTGGTAGCCAAGTGGTAAGGAGTTGGGCTGCAGACCCAAAGGCACACAGTTTGAACCCTCCAGGGCTTCCTTGGGAGAAAGATGGGCAGCCTCTGCGTGCGCAGTTTACTGTGTCAGTGGATCAACCAAATGTTGGTCTCAGCTCAGTGACATATAACATGACTTTGCTATTCTCTGTTTTGCCATATATCTGGTCTTCAAGCCACTGAAAGAGAGACAGTGGATTTTGAGATAGAGGTCTCTTTTACCTCAGGTGCTGCACCTTGGGCTGCCTGGGGAAAGATTACCCTGTGGGGTTACTAATCCACTCCCTTGGGGATAAGAGCCACCACTTAAGTACTTCTATAATATTTGCCTTTCCTATTCCCATGAGCAAATGGCCAGGAGGGACCAGTCCCTGGAGAAGGACGTCATGCTCGGAAGGGTGGAGGGACAGCGCAAGAGAGGAAGACCCTTGATGACATGAGACGGATTGATTCAGTGACTGGGGCATTGGGGGTAGGTGTGTCGGAGTCAGTGACACTGGCTCAGGACAGGGAAGGGTTCAGAGCACATAGGGTCGCTCGCTATGAATTGCAGGTGACTTGATGGCACCTAACAACACAACAACAACACTCGTGCCAATTATAATTTTGGTGTATTTTGAGGAAGTAAATATAAAATGAGAATAAAGAAATAGAATTTAATAGAGCAACACTTTTTAAGAACACGAATTTCCAGATAATCAGGAAAAACAGCCCTCATTGTACGCTTTTTCATTTTTTTTCTGCTTCCCAAACTACTTCATGTGAGTATGACTTCTGTAAAAACAGCTACTGACTTGTTTTTAATAAAAATGTGACATGTGGATACTGTGTGTATTTCTTTAGAGATGATTTCTACCACTTCATTAATTTGAAAATGATAATTTTACTTACCTTTGTCATAGAGGTAGGGTTGGAAAATATTTCATTGAAGCTACTGTTAAGATTTTAAATTGGATGTTGGGTCAACCTAAATCAGGGCTCCTGAGTAAGAGACTAGCATTATTCCTTAAGGAGCCTTAATGAGTATAAAAAAGGTCTTATTGCTAATCTGTAAATGTAAATACCAGCTTAAAAATGAAGGAAAACAGTCGGCTTGGCCGCCTCTAGTGTGAGACCAGGAGAACTAGACGGAGCATGACTCCCAGTGCCACAACTCTAAGGGTCACAATAGCAAATCCTGGTCAGATTGGGAGGAAAACGTAGAACAAAATGAAAAGTCATTTAAAAGACCAGATTTACTGGTCTGATAGGATTGGGGGAACCCCTGAGGCGGTGGCCGGAGATAGTCTTCAGAGTTAGAACTAAACCCACACCTGGAGACAGTCAAAAGGGAAGAATAACACCTGTGAGAACAGGCTTCTCCGAACACACGCAACTAGAAGGGATTAAAAGGGCAAGATTTGCTCAAAAGTAGAATTCAGAAGGTGGGAACGCTGACTCAGTGAAAATGGAGACTCCAGGACGCAAACAGGGAGAGTGAAAATCCTGAGGGGATTAGAACTATTGTCATCAAACAGTCAATTTGACCTGCATAAATTGTTGAATGGGAAACAAATTTACTCTGTAAACTTTCACCTAAGCCACACTGGCCACATGCCCGCCACACACCCACATGAGATTAAGGGAAAATTCTTGGATTTTCAGTGGTCTTCCTTTGCTTCAAGTGTAACATCCCAACTGCTTCTTCTATCTGCAAGGCCAGACCCTCCTGATCTCTGTGACCTCCTCTCTGCTCTGCTCTTCTGACCTACCCCGCCCCGTTACCTTTCTTTCCTGTTAGTATGCAGAGTATATTCTTACCTCTGGACATTTGCAATGGTTTATCCTCTGCTTGGAATAAACTCCCCTGTCCATCTGCACCTAAATTGTTCATCTTGTTGTTGTTGTTTTCTGTCCTTTAAGTCTTATTGCAGTGTAATCTCAGGAGTTTTCCTTGTCTAAAGTTGCTCATTTCTGTCACATTAGACCATTTCATTTTCTTCAGAGTACATATTAATATGTGGAATTATCCTGTGTGCCTTTTGCATATTTATTTTTCAGTGGCAGATACATATTCCCAAAGAGCTGGCTTGTTTTGTCTGTTTTTAAAATTGCTGTTCTTTCCAGGGCTTGCTATAGTTAAGGATTTGACTAATTAAACAAATGAATAAGGGGAAATAAAGACTTTGTTACAGGAAACAGGACTTTGGTAACTCTCCCTGAGCTGGTGGGAGGGACTTGGGTTCCTTTCTTATGACTCTCAGGTCTCATCAGTGAAGAAGCTCAGGTCATTCGTAACTGCTTTGGAGCCTGACCTGAGCTCAAGGCTGGACACATAACATCTATACCAGCTTGTTTGTCAGGTCTGTGGCTGGCAGAACCTTCGGTGGGGGGAGGGAAGCACTCTGCCACCCTTCCTGACAACTCACATGTGCTTACCTAGCTGGACTTCCTGGAAGGAGGATTTGATCAGGTCTCAGACTGGGTTTAGGGGAACACTTAGGTCACTGTCTGCCAGCAGAGCTGTTTTGGCTCCTCTATTACTGGACAGAACTATAGGAAACAACTTCTAGGCAGGCTGCGGGGTGGGGGGCGCTGCTGGGAGTTTTCAGTCAATGCCCAGTGCATTGAGTTGTGGGAATTAGACTTACCACTTTTCCAAGGGAGTGCTTTCTATCCTCAAGAAGGTACTACTTTGATTAGATGGAGTCCTGATATCAGGGTTGGGGAGTGTTTTTAGTCCTAGGAACCTTGACGTGACATGCCCAGGGTCTAAGCTAGCCTTTAAGTAGGTCTGGCTTAAGCAATTCTGATGTTTTATGTATTTTCCCTTCCTCCCAGAAATGCCGTGATGTTAATGATGTATTTTGCAAGAAACTTTTTAGTTCCCCTCCTTTTGTTTCTTCAACTGCTTCATTTACAAAATGGACACAGAACATTCCTCCAAGGAGGAGTATATATTGAATAGAATTCTTTTGACAGAATAGAAAGACCAATTCTTTGTCCCAAGTCTAGTGGCAGTTAATTAACAATTACTAGATTACTCTGCAAGAGATATAAATAGGTAATGAGTCAGTGCATGTCAGATGCTTGATGTAGTAAATCACCCTCACATAAATTTTGCCTGGTCTGACTCATATAGTTGTCTTATATACACAGCTTTCTTCGGTCAATTCATGAGTGAACTGCATTTCAGTGCGACCAGAAAGTTAGTACACTGTCTTATCACCTGTTGTCATGATTAGGTTCCAAAGAACAGGTAATTCGGTGAAAGTCAGCTTTATGTGAAAATAGACGATGACCACATCAGATGACATTAGACGGAGGATGAGGACTGCAACGTTACAGTTTCCACGTGACATCGTTACATACTGTGGAACCACTTGCGATCTTGACACAGAACTTGAGTCCTCACTGCCAGTGTTGCTCTTGCCTCACATCTTAGTGTCACTGCTATGTGTACATTGTTACCGTGAAAACGAATCGTCTCTCAACTCACATTGCCATCGAGTCAGAAATGATTCCTAGCTGACCCTTTAGTGAGTTTTCAGAGGCTGTTCTCACAAAGGAGGAGATTGCCTCTCTTTCTCGTGTGGAGTAGCTGGTAGATTCAAAATACCTGCTTTTGGGTTGGCAGTGCAGCTCCATACGCACTAGACCACCAGAGTCCTCCAGACGAGAATTAGGTGGTATCTTCCCCTATTGTTAAATGCAAAATACTAACTGATGAGATAGTTGATAAGTGAGAAGGTGTACTGTCATGTTAAACATAGTTCTAATCACTTATTATTAAGGGAGCTCTGGTGACTTAGTGGCAAGAAGCATAGTTTTTTAAATTTTCTTATGACCATATAATTAAATTGGGTATTTAAGATGTCTGATTTGAGTTCCTGAAGGAACGCGGTTCAAATCCACCAGCTGCCCCACGGGAGTAGGATGGACGGTCTCCTCCTTAGTGATTAACTGCCTCTGAAAACCCACCAGAGGGTCAGCTTTGGGTCACTTCCGACTCGACAGTACACAACAATAACAACTTATTATTAAATTAATGGTAGAATTATAGTGGGTTTTGATGATGATGATGATTATAATCCCGAGGTGACTTTTGAACAGATATAACCAGCGTGAGATTCTAGCTAGTGGTTTCTATTAAATATAACATACTTTAACTTCAATATTTTGGCGGATGAAACTGTCTCCTAGTTTGTGGTATGTTTAAGCACATGTGGCAGGAGTATAAAACTGGAAAGCTTCATTATTTACACATCATTAATGGTGACAAATTGTTTTTCTTCCTTTCTAGCTATACGTGGGAAGCTGTTGATACTAAAAATCACATACTTTATAAAATAAATGTGTGTGGAAATGTGGCTGTTCCTGAATGTGGGCCATCGAGTGCTATTTGTATGCACAACTTGAAGACAAAGAGCTATCATTCAGTGGGTAAGTAAATCTGCCTTTAAATTATGATATGGAAAATGTGCCAATATTCTAAAAAATTACATATGCTATTATGTGTAAGAGTCTCTACATAATAGAGTATGTATATATTTCTGTGTTGTGTCTTGTTTTTGTTAGTAGCTGTTGAGTTGATTCTGACTCATAGTGGCCCATTGTGTACAGAGTATGGGTCTTCCACACAGTTTTCAAGTGACCTTTTTTGGAAACAGACTGCATGACTTATCTTCCAGAGTGCCTTTGGTTATATTTGAAATGTCACCCTGTAGCTGGTAGTCATCCGTAACCATTTGTGCCACTCAGACACTATATTCTATGTATGTTGACACTTACATATTTTATAAGTTAAAAGCAGTAATGCTTAACATGAGATTAAATAAGGTTCTAGCCTTCTAAGCAGTCATTAAGAATCACATGAGTGTTGGTATAGAAATGTTTCCTAATTGGCTTTCCCTTCCATAGATGTTGTTTTCAAGCATCTCATTTCTTGTTCACTTACCTTTTATAATAGATGTTATTATTTACTCCTACTTCACAAATGAAAGTACTGAAAAAAACAAATGAAATTATTGAAGCACAAAATAAGTCAGCCGTTTGCCAGAGATGATGTGACCAGGAACCCAGGAACAGGATTAAAGTGCTGATGGTGGCCCCACTCCAGTGTCTGTGTCTCATCCACCCGCTGAGTTCTGTGCATCATAGAGGCATAGCAGTCAGTTTTAGAAACAAAGTGGCAACCATAATGGGAAATTGAAACCCACAGTTCTGAGAGAACCTCTGAGAAATAACTTCTTAGGAGTTTTCTAGAAAGGAAAGGAAAAAAAGTGAACTTTAAAAATTACCACAAAAACTGGAACTCCCAGTAGAGCAGAGGAAGAGAGGAGTTAGTGTAGACATAGAGTCAAATACATATGGAAATGATGTCTAAGAAAAATTTTATGTAATTAAGCATTATTAATCTAATAATAAACAGAGCTCTAATAATAAACACTCCTCCTGTTTATCAGATACAAAGATTATAGGTAAGTTAAAATTTAAACATAAAAGGACAATAAAACATTGGAAAAGTTTTCGGTAAAATATAGTGTGGGAGGAAACTTTCTTAGGAAACTTGGAATCTCTAAAGGAAAATATAGATATATCTGACTATAAATTTTCATAACAAGAAAACATATTAAAGACAAATGATATATGTTAGACTGAGGGGAAGGATTCCGCTGAAGTGCAGATGTACTAGTAGAGTAAAAGTGACTCTTAAAAATTGATAAGAAAAAAATATTGGTAAGACAGACAGATAACCATGGAGCAAAATGGAAAACTTAAGAACAAACGATATACAAAAGGAATACACAAAAGAAATCCAGATGGTCAGTATTACTTGGTAAGCCATGGGTATAAATGCCCATCATATCAGTCATGATGAAATCTCATTTTCCCTTATCAAATTGGCATAAATTTAAAATAGTTAAAACTTATTATGCTGGCAGAGGAACCTGGCACCAGGTGCACTAATATACTGCTTGCTGGAGGAAGGTTGTTGACAGTTGTTGGTGCGAGTTTTATAGTTTAGAAAAGACTATTAAAACTTAGGTTTAAATGATATTAAGTACCTCAAAATGATGAAAGTGGTAGGTTTTTTTTCCCCTTAGGCAAATAATATTATCTATATGACCCCAACAGGTTTTACTAATCCTTTTTATGGGGCTTTTATTTTTTTATTAAATTTTATTAGTTTTAATGAACCTTTACAGAGATTTTGGGTTTTCATTCATTCATTGTTGCACTGTTTTCTCCACCCTCATCCCCAGTTCGTTCTTCTCC